ATCTCTGCCTGTAAGAGTTGGTAGAAATCATCTATTTCTTCTTCTTTGGCTCTGGTTGTTGGTGCATATATCTGGATGATACTAGTGTTCACTGGACTTCCTTGTAAGCGTATGGATATAACCCTATCACTCACAATGTTGTACTTCAAGATGGACCTAGAAATTTTTTTTTTTACTATGAAAGCAACTCCATTTTTCCTCACCTTTTCATCTCCAGAATAATATATCATATGATCATCTGATTCGAAATGCCCCATGCCAGTCCATCTCATCTCTCCAATGCCTAGTATGTCAATATTTATGCATTCCATTTCTTTCTTAACAATTTCTAGTTTTCCTACATAATGTAAAATATTCTCTCAAACAGTTGTATGGCTTCCTACTTCCATATCAATACACAGCCAAGAAGGAAGGACTTGTGGATTCTTACCTAGTGCTGAAGTCTCTCTCTGGCCTGTAAGATGTACTGATACTATAATGGATGAGATGCAGTGTTTGCTTTGCTGGGACGGCTGGCAGGCCCCAGATGCAGTTAGTCTTGGAGTAAGGTGGTTGATCATATTACCAAAGCTCCTTGAATTATGTGTGCTCATAGGAATGCTTTGAGTCATACTCACAAAGGTGTAATTCCCGGTGTAAATGGTGAGAGGTGTAAATGTTAACAGTGGTCTAACTAGTGCTTTTGAGTAAGCTAATGATGAGCAAGGAGAGTTGGTTTTATTTGTATTTAATCTTCTGTGGTTAGCAAGTCAGGGTACATTCTTTAGATGTATCATAAAAAGGGGGAAACTTGATTTCTGTTTCTTAAGTTGGAAGAACTGAAAAGTAGATTTAAGGCTTGGGTTACAGTACTGAGAGATGCTGTGTGCAAAATCTTTTTTTATTTTATTATTTTTGTGTGAGTGTACCGTCAAATCAGATCTGACTGGTACAGGAGGAGACTGCCCCTCCTTCCCTGGCAGAGCATTTGGTGGATTTGAACCATGTGCCTCTGGGATTGTAGTTGCAGCTCCTTGCCACTAGGCCACCAGAACTCCCCTTATGTGCACAATCTTGAATGATCCAGAAGGCATCAGAAGAAGGTAGAAGGAATACACAGAGACACTGCATCAAAAAGAATTGATTGACACTGAAAAATTTCAGGAAGTACCGTAAAATGAAGACTCAGTAGTAATGAAATTCAAGCTATACTGAAAGCACTGGCAAAAAAAAAAATAAGAAAGCAGAATCAATGGGATACCATTTGACATGTTTCAAATGACAAATGCAGCCCTGGATATGCTCACCAGTCTGTGCCAGAAAATTTGAAGGACAGCTGCCTGGCCAACCAACTGGAAGAGATGCATATTTGTTCTTATTTCTAAGAAAAGTGACCCACCAGAATATGGAAATTAAATAGTAATATTAAAATATCTTGTGAGCAAAATATTGCTGAAGAACATCCAGAAGTGGCTAGAACAGTACAATGCCATGGAGCTGCCAGAGGTTGTCCATCAGGAATTTCATTGCTGATGTTAACTGGCTAAAAGCAAAAAATCCCAGAATACCTGTTTGTGTTTTATTCACTATGTAGAGGCGTTTAACTGTGTGGATCATAATATACTATGGCCAACATTGAGAAGAATGGGAATCCTAGAACAAGTAATTGTGCCCATGCAAAACCTATACCTTAATCAAGAAGATATTTTCCATATAGAGCAAGGGAAAGCATTACTTAAGCACTGCATAACTCAGATCAGGAAGGACATGCATCAGAATTGTATCCTTTCTCCATACCTGTTCAGTGTGTATAGTGAAAAACTAATTTTTGAGGTTAGACTCTGAAGAGGAATGTAGCATCAGAATTGGAGGAAGACTTAACAACCTTCGTTATGCAGATGATACAACTTTGCTTGCTGAAGGTGAGGAGAATATGAAGCGTTTGATGCAGAAGATGGACTAAAAAGTTTCTCACCACTGTGTCAGTAAACAGCATGATTTATGGAAAAGGAAAGTAGTGATTTTGTTTTACTTTAAACAATTGACATCCTTGGTACCAACAGTTAGGAGATGAGGAGATGTATCACTTGGTCCAGTCTGTTGTCAAAGACTTCTCCAAAATAATGAAGAACAGTGATGTCAGTTTGAAGGCTAAGGTACTCCTGATTCAGGCCATCGTCTTTTCAGTCATTTGCTATGCATATAGCTAATAAATAAGGATAACAGAAGAATTGATGCGTTTAAGTTGTAACATTGAGAAAAGTGCTGAATATTCTAAGGACTTCCAAAAGAATTAACAGAAGTGTCTTGGAAAGAGTTCAACCATAGTGCTCCTTGGAGGCAAAGATGGTGAAGCTTTGTCTCATCTCATATACTTTGGACATGTTGGCAGGAGAGGCTCTTCTTTGTAAAGGAACATCATGTGTGGAAAGATGGAGGGTCAGTGAATGAGAATAAGACCCCCACTAAGATGATTGATAAAATGACTGCAGCAGTGGTCCTCATGTATGTCAGAGATGATGAGGATGGCATAGGATACAACAGGGCTCAGATTTGTTACTTGTAGGGTTACTGTGAGTTGTACATGAGTTGATTGCACCTAACAACAATATGAACTCTCAAAAGAAGAAATACGTCTTGGAGAAATTATAGCCAGGGTGCTCCTGAGAGGTAAGGTTGGTGAAACTTCATCTCATATACTTAGAGCATGTTGTTAGTATGGGCCAGTCCTTGCTTAAAGGACATCATGCTTGGAGAGGTAGAGGGTCAGCGAAAGAGAGGAAAACCCCCAGCAAGATGTATTGACACAGTGATTGTAATAGTGGACTGAAGTATATCATATGATGAAGATATCACAAGCTAGGCAGTGTCCAGATCCCTTGTTCCTAGGATAGCTGTAGGCTGTAGTCAGATGAAGGTGGTGGAAAGGGAGGAATCATTTGTAGACTCAAAAAATTCAGTGAGTCAAAATGAAAATAAAGGTGGCAGGGGAAAGATTTTTTAAGAAAATAGCCAGAGTAAATTCCAGGCACTTGGTTGTATAATGTAGACACACTTCCCCCCCCACCCCCCACCCCAAGTACACTTCTCTATGCAACCTTAATTCTGGACTCCTGTGATAACCATAATACTCAATCATATATCACTTCTAATCTCTTCTTTCCCTCATCTCTTTCAACACAATATACATAATTTATCCAATTTTTTCTGTCATACCCCCACCCTGATGACAGACCCATTCT